CTCAGTGATTTTTGTAATGATATTTGGGAATTCACCTACTGCCACATAGTTGTTAACCTTGACATTTTTTTAAGCCAAACCTCTTTCTAAAATTATCAAACCATCCTTGGCTGGCATTAAATGCCCTAGCTTTAGATCCTTCACCTTCCTTTTGCTTTAAATTAGCTTTAAGTTAGCTTTTCCTTGAATCATATTAGAATCTATAGATATATGCCTTTCTTATAGCAATCCTGCACCCACATAAAAGCTGCATTTTCAATATGAGATAAAAATATTTCACAAAAGGTGTAAGGTTTTCATGCCTACTAGTATAGCTGAAGTGAAAAGTGCATGAATTTCATTTTGTTTGTTACTTATTTTTTTTTTTTTTTGTACAACGGTTCTTACACAGGATTCATCTTAAAATGGTGGGCAACCACAGCTGCAGATCACAATCATACATATAAAGCAATTCAACTTTTTCTTATAATGTCATAACATTTGTCTGCTTCTTGGGAGTACTTCCAACATCACTAATGGCACTTCATAGTGTTTTTCAAGGTTTACAGTATTACAGTAAACACAAAAAGTACATGAGAACTGCAAGAGATCACTTTTTATTGTAATATGTGAGTGAAGAGACAAACTGCTCATCTCATGTGGAGATGATTAGCATCATACTGTTTTAAGCATATATTTGCAACACTTGAGCTCATCACAATAGCTATAGGAGGTGGCTATGAAATTACAGTAGTTCAGTAGGTACTACAGTAAGTACTACAGTAGGTCTACAGTTAATTTTATGGAGTTATGATTTAATACTGCATCTTTATGTTTGTTTATACTTCTCTTGACTCAAATGGTGCCATATACAGTCTGTAAGTGTATGTGTAAGTTTTGATATTTAAAATAAGTACATTTATATTTTTATACAATGTAAATATACACACACACATTGGCATCAAGATATAGAAGGCAAAATGTTTTAGACACTGAAAGAGAAATTAGCTGAAACACAATGGTAGAAAGACACTTCAAGTAGGCCAAAAAATAAGGATGGGATGATCTGAATATTTTTCCTTTTATGGATTGTGCTTTTGGTTGAAGTCCAAGAACTCTTCACCTAGGCTAGATCCCAAAGACTTTCTTGTGTTTTTTTACCCTTAAAAGTTTTATGGTTTTTATGTTTTATACTATTTTTTAAAATCAGTTTTGATATAATTTTTGTGTGTGGTGTGAGATTTAGGTCAAGGCCTTTTTTTTTAAGATAAAGTTTTAACTTTTGCCCATTGAAACACATGGATATTTTAAATAGCAATAAATGGAATTGATAAGGGTGTAAAATAAAAGGCACATAGAGTAGTTGCAAATACACATTGATGAAAACAAGTGTGATTCAATATTTGCATTTTTTGGATTTGTCCAAAGATAATTAATCCATAGACATAAAAAACATACATAGAATAGAGTTGACTGAAGTGTTATTACAGGAAAATGCTGGAAACAATCTACATGTCTAGTATCAAGATGACTGACTAGTAGAATAAAATACTTCACGTTTAGAATTATGTGTAGTCATGTGAAAATGTGACTATCTATTAAATGAAAAACAGGCTTCAAAACATTAAGCACAATATGTTAATAGTATAGAGATTACAAGTGATTTTTATTTTCTCCTTTGTGTTTTTTCCTATATTCCTATATTGAGTAAAGCATAGAACAGTTTCATGTTTTGTTGTGGTTACTATTTATTACTGTCTTAGTTTTTCTTTCATGACTTTAAAAGTATTGCAGCATTTTAAAGTTGTTCTTATGAAGTGGAAAAGTATGTAGCAGACTATATCTCTGACTAATGAAAGTTATAAAAACATATTAATTTAAATATTACACATATAATTTTAATTATAAAATAAATCCACCTATATGTACTAAGACAAAAGATTTTTTTATTCACTAAATTTTAGGAAAGAAGAAAGATATGAGAAAATTGTCTCATGGTTGCTATTTTTAAGGGATAGCTCAGGGCTTATTATTATAACTACTTTATTACTTTTTTAAAAAAGTTTTTTAATGTTTATTTATTTTTGAGTTGGAGACAAAGCACAAGTGGGGGAGGGGCAGAGAGAGAGACACAGAATCTGAAACAGGCTCCAGGCTTGGAGCTGTCAGCACAGAGCCTGACATGGAACTCAAACTCATGCACCATAAGATCATGACTTGAGCTGAAGTTGGATGCTGAACAGACTGAGCCACCCAGGCTCCCTACTACTTTATTACTTTAAAAAAATGTATTTCTTACTTTATTCAAACTGAGTCATTTACTTGTGGGGTAAAGAGGCAATGATACAACAAATATGCTAGAAATATAGAGGTGCTCAATACAGAGAAAGATGCTCTATTGCAACTGTTGCAAGATTACATCTAGGTTAAGCCAGGTATACTTTTAAACTTTATTCAAGATAAAGCTACTTTTTTGGATTAATCAAATTGGGTCATACACTTCATAAGGTAATCTTGATTACTAAGTAAGTTTTTTCTCTGCTACATCTTTCAAAAAGATAAATACAAAGAAAACATCTCAGGTTCTAAAGTGTTTAGCTAAGGACTTTGGTAGCTAAGTAATTTAAATCTCTGCATAAGGCTATTAAAAGAAAAAATACCATATCATTGTGTGTGTGTATTGTATATTCACACAGATGAATGCATATACATAATGTTATAAAATGAGATAAATAGATTATGTTTCATGATTTCTGTTTTGGAATATGGCCGTAAAATTAAGGAATAAGAATTGTAATGAGTAATGTTTGTTTAGAACAGCTTTTTTAACTCTTGATAAGAAAAAGGGGGAAAATAGGAAATTAAAAGGATCTCCATTTTTTATAGATTGGATAATATATAGAATATATTGATAGTATTTTACTGATACATAGAAATTCATAATGCTGTTTTTTATATTCATAGACTGGTTTTTATATTCATAGATTGAAGTAGATATAAGATAACTTGCAGTCAGAAAAATAGGTAAAAACTTTGAGCTTTTCTAAATAGAGTGAAATTTACTGTTTGAGTATTTATTTGCCTTCCTTTTCCCAAGTCTGTTAAAGGATTCTTTCTTTCCCTTCACTTCTAAAAGGCTTCATTTAAGTCCCAAGCAATTTGGGGATTCTGTTAAGCCAGATAAGAAGGAAAGAAAAGGGTGAGAAAGTAATTTCTGTGGGACTTTTATAGAGAGGGTATCTGGGAAAACTGGGATGTGAGGGGAAGGTACATAGAGGAAAGAAGGGTTTCTTTATATCTGTAAGATCATATTCTGAGCCAAACTCGAGAGTTGGATGCTTAACAAAATGAGCCAGTCAGGCTCCCCAGAAAGAAGGATTTTAAAAAGTATTGTTCAAGAAATGACAATAAGGAACTTAAGTTATTATTATCTTTTTTATAAGAGAGAGAACATGCAAGCAGGGGAGAGGGACAGAGAGAAGAAAAGAGAGAATCTTAAGCTGACTCCATGCTCAGTATGGAGCCCATCATAAGGCTTAATCCCACAATCCTGGGATCATGACCTAAATTGAAATCAAGACTTGGATGCTCAACCAGCTGAGTCACTCACGTGCCCCAAGAACTTAAGTTATTTTGACATTAGTTTTCAGTTGCCATCAGGTTCTGATCACAACACAGCTTGCTGAGACAACATGAGTTAAAGATTTAATAAAACTTGGAAGTGTCAACAGTTGTATATCCACACACAATTGAGATGGGGATATGAAGGGCAGGAGAATATAATCTAATCTGCAAGAGGAAGGTATTGCCTTCCACATTCATTTTTTTCCACATTCATTTTTGTTGTTTTTAATTTTTGTTGATCAAGATACACTTTTTGTTAAAGAACAAGTTGCGTAGATGATTTATGATTTACCACCTTTTATCATATGAACAACAGGTATATTTATCTTTTCTCCTCTGGAGCATTGAATTTTATGTTGGCTAGGGGGATGGGAACATAGGAAGGAGAAGTGAAGTAAAAATTGATCCAGTATGTTTTTCAATATGAAACAAACTTGGCAAATCCATAATTTTTCTCTTTTTGACCTATAGTCCATCATATTCTACTCTATACTGTTAGCCAAAGGTTTTCTTTTACTTTGTCATTTTCTCTTACTGGAAATGCAGGAAATAGTCTTTAAAGTAAGTAGATGTCAGATCAAGTTCTCTAAAATTTTAATGATATCAATCAACATGGCAGTTGTTTTTTCTCTTTTAGCCTTATTTACTAATACTCAAAATTAAATTTATTAAGACATAACTGGTAAAATGATTCCTAGAATATCTTTGACATAATAACTTATAAGAGAATGGTCTTCAATATTATCTGTATATGTAGTATAACCATCACATCACATCCTGTTTCTATACATAAATGTCCAAAACAAAAGGAAAAAGGAAGAGCAATTTTTATAGGCTATCACTGATACCTCATATTTTGTTTTAAAGAATGTTTTTTTTTTATTTGACTGGGTTCTTTGCAAAATTTTTGGCATCATCTAGTTTAAAATACCTGACATTACTTTAGAGCAGAATTAATTGGTCATGTAGGTAAAGTGATCTCTCAGGGCTTTTCAAACGGAACCTACAGTGTAAGCCTAATATTTCATAGATTAGACAGATGGATTATCAGTGTTTTTGTTTGCATTCTGTGAAAACAGAAATTGGAAAAGTAAATTGAAAATGTAGAGGTTTTACATTCAGTTCTGCTAATTGAGTTCTGCTTTTTTCATTGGTAAAATGACTTTGTAAATGGCATCAGCTATCATTAGCACTTAAATTATTTCATGAAAAAAAGGAAATCTCATATTTAGTAAATTAGATATCTTGAATTCAGAACTATAAATTATTTCATGAAAAAAAGGAAATCTCATATTTAGTAAATTAGATATCTTGAATTCAGAACTATATATACAACTGATGGCCTTGTCTGGAAAAATACATTAGTTGGAAACTACCTGTGTCTTGTTTTCTTGCAGGGAACAAATCACAAGACAGTGGCATAGCAGAAATGGAAGAACTTCCTGTACCACATAACATCAAAATAAGCAACATTACCTGTGATTCATTCAAGATTTCATGGGAAATGGATTCAAAGTCAAAGGACCGTATTACACACTATTTCATTGACCTCAATAAGAAAGAGAACAAGAACTCCAATAAATTTAAACACAAGGTAAAATATTAATACATACATATTCATTTGTATCTTAAAAACTTTAGAAGTATGAGGATATTTTAAAAGGAATAATGTTCTATTAATTATATGACATGTTTGACATTGGAATAATAAAAATTACATGTCATTTTAAAACCCTGTCCTTTGGGCGCCTGGGTGGCTTAGTAGGTTAAGCATCTGACTTTGGCTCAGGTCATGATCTCATGTTCGTTAAGTTCGAGCCCCACATCAGGCTTCTGAGCTATCAGCCTGAGCCTGCTTCAGATTCTGTATCTCCCTCTCTCTGCCCCTCCCCAGCTCATGCTGTCTCTCTCTCTCTCTCTGTCTCTCCATCCAAAATAAATAAACATAAAAAAAATTTAAAAAACCAACCCGGTCCTTCTAAGTGATTTTTTTAGGAAAATGAAATGTCAAGTATACTTTTTAAATATAGTTTTTCCCAGAAAAGGTAAAATCATGACTCTCATATAGACATAAAAATGAACATATGTTAAAGATCTAACATATTAATGAAGTAACTGATAGGGTGTTTCAAAGGATAACCCAAAGAATATGCACAGTTGTAGATCAGGATATTGAAATAAATGTATAAGTAGAGGCAAAACTGGTTTGGGGTCAGGAAGGAGCAAGAGCCAGAAAAGAGGGTTGGACAGAATCAATTTGCATGTATTTAGACAAGATTATCTACAAATTACGTTGTTATAAAATAGCTTCCACAGAATCAGAAGAAGGTAGCCAGAAGAGTGTGCTATAAGCAATGCATAGTTTTCATCAAAGCACACATTTTTCCCTATAATAACTTTTTAAAAAAATTTTTAATAGTTTATTGTCAAGTTGGTTTCCATATAACACCCAGTACTCATCCCCACAAGTGCCCTCCTCCATGCCCATCACCCCCCTTCCCCTCTCCCTCACCCCCATCAGCCCTCAGTTTGTTCTCAGAATTCGAGTTTCTCATAGTTTGCCTCCCTCCCTCTCCCCAACTATTTTTCCCCTTCTTCTCCCCCATGGCCCTCCATTAAGTTTCTCCTAATCCTCCTATACGTGCAAACATATGGTATCTATCCTTCTCTGCCTGATTTATTTCGCTCAGCATAACACCCTCAAGTTCCATCCATGTTGCTACACATGACCAGATTTCATTCTTTCTCATTGCCATGTAGTATTCCATTGTATAGATAAACTACATCTTCTTGATCCCTATAATAACTTTCAAAAGAGGAATGTAACGTAGCTTATAAACTTCAGGTATTTGTAAAATATATTAGGACTGAAAATTGATTTAGTTAGTCTATTTTATGGTTTGAAAATGAAAATTAACCATTAAATGTCTTAGACATGTAACACTTTTCTGGTATTTATTCTTATAGTAGTCTACTTATCACATATCTTTTCTGATACATGTCTCTCTACATATACATCAGAGATAATATATTAGAGAAAAATATCTGGTTTAAGTATTCTTCCTTATGTTTCAGTATTTTCACTGATAAAATTGATACTAAATTTTTATATTGATACTAAATTTTCACTTCACAAATGTTTTGAAAGAGCTGTCTTATCTAGCCTGGAAATTATGCCTTTTACCAAATGCACAGTTATATACATTGATGATAGATGAGAATTCTATGTACAGATAAGTGTGAGAGAACAAGATTGATAAGTCATTATTCTAAACATGTTCCAATTTTGATTATGCTTTCCAGTTACAGATATCCTCTTTGCTAACATTTCCCTTCTTGAAGTACTTTTGAAATATTTCCTTGAAGTAGCTGAAATATTTAATGTTAAATGACGATTAGGTCAAGATTTGACCCGCTTTTCTTTATTCCACACTTAGAAAACCATATATTTGGAAATTTAATGAATATTCAACTAGCAAGTTTAATTACCTTATTAATCGCTGTTTGGAAATACCTAAACACTTCTGTGACACATAAGCTCCATGCTGAATACAACTCCAATACAACTGAGGCAGATATTACCTCTTTTGTGTATAAAACCGATTCATTTGTCTTAAAATAGTTGTTTTTAAAATGTGCTCTCCGTTCACAAATAAAATATTTAGTATTTTATTTTTATTTATATGGGCTAGGCTACTCTGGTAAAATTGACTGGTAGTATAAATTAAACAAATATATTTCAAAATACAAAAACCATTGAATTGTATTTGTCATGTTTGAGGTTTTAGAAGTTTTGTTTTATCATTTAGTATTGGAGTATTTCATTTTAAGGTGCAGATATAAGGAGCATACAGAGAAGAACAAGACTCGAGAAAACAGGAACCTAAGTACATTTATGTCATTAACTAGCGGTATGACCTTGGGCATGTCTCTTGATCAAGTTGGCCTTATTTTTTACATCTGGAGAATATGATATTTGAATATAATAATTATTAAATATCTTTAAAAATTAAAATTCTTTCATTAGCCAGGAACTGAAAAAGTTCCTCCAAACTGTTTATAGTTGATTCAAGTTATACTGCTAAATTAACTTATTTCTTCCATTCCTGCTTTCCTCCATTCCTTCCTCCCTCCTTCCTCCCTCCTTCCCTTCTTTCCTACCTGCCTTCATTCCCCTTTCCTGTTTTTCTGTCTTTTTGTCTTAGGATGTTCCAACAAAATTGGTGGCAAAAGCTGTTCCTTTGCCAATGACTGTCCGTGGACACTGGTTTTTGAGCCCAAGAACTGAGTATACAGTAGCAGTACAGACTGCCTCAAAACAAGTTGATGGTGATTATGTTGTGTCTGAATGGAGTGAAATTATAGAATTCTGCACAGCAGGTAAGAACAGAAAAATACAGAAAAATATTTAATATTTAATAAATATACAGAAAAATATTTAGTAGTTCCTAAAAAGCTAATTACATATTAAAATATTTTTCATTATAAGGTGATATAAATTGCATTGATTATTTTTGCATTGCCAATAGCACTGTGTAACAGAACAAACTATAATGTATTGGTTGAAGTGAGCTCAGATGGCATTAAAACAATTCTTTGATGCATAGTTTGAGTTTTCAAAATAAGAGCTTTGCAAATAAAATTGGTATAGTTTGAAAATATACTCAGCACATTTTAAGCTTCATTTTGAGAAGGAGAGAGAGGTTTTTTGTTTGGTTGGTTTTTTTTTAATTTTCACCGATATTGAAACAAAGAAGCCAGGAACATCTTTCTCCAACTTAGGGGAATGGATGATCTTAGGGGAATTACAGATCTTAATGACTGTACCTAGCAGAAGTGTTATTCGATTTTTCACTTGAATGCTGAAAATCTGTATCTAAACTAGTGTCCCGTGTGTGTGTGTGTGTGTGTGTGTGTGTGTGTGTTTGCTTCATTAGAAAGTACCTTGTACCCATTTGGCCTTTAGATATCTGATGTGGAGAGCCCATCCCCTTTGATCTTGAACTATACTTTAATATTTCATTAGATGGAAATGTTACCATTTATCACATTCATTTACCTGTTAATTCATTCTTTAAGAAACAAATATTTAGTGCACACTTAAATAGGTGCTGAAGTGATATAAAGACATCTCTACCTGAATACATCTGTCATTCTCTCCTTGTTTCTTAGAATGGGGCTTTGTTTCCCCTTTGTACATGTGATTGTTTCCTCTGAAAAATTATAGAGAGAGGCTAAATGTTTTTTCAGCATAAAGGAGCTTGAAGAAAAAATCTTAAAAATTTACCTCAACTATTGTAGGTTGGTCAGAAATTTTCCACAACTGAGGCAACCTACAGATAAATCATCCATTTTTCCTCTTCGTAGCCTCACACATCCATTATCTTCCCCCTGTAGCCTTACTCAGTACATACTTAGCTACAGTACATACATATATACTCAGTACGTATTCTCTCTATCTTGTGTTATTTCCTAATCTCACACTCAGTGTAAAACGTTTCCTATGGATATGTTAAATGAATAGAGTTTTAATTCTGTTATTTTGATTTTATCTTCAGTTTTTTTTATTAGGAAGTTACTAAGGATTATAACATCCTTAATTGCTAAGGATTTCAGTCTTTAAGAGCAAGGAAAATAGTATCTTTCTGGTACCATATTTCTTCTTATCTAAGATACTGATTATAAGATCCACCGTTTTATATATCACTAAGGAAAAATACTATCATTTAAACTATGAAACAGTGTTTTCATATCATAGCTATTGTAGGACTCATGTCAGAGAAGCTAAATGTGAAGAAAATACATTTTCATAGGCACCTGGCTGGTTCAGTTGGTTAAGCATCCAACTCTTGATTTCAGCTCAGGTCATGATCTTATAGCCATGAAATTGAGTCTGCTTAAGATTCTCTCCCTCTGTCTCCCACTGCCCTTCCCTTGCTTGCATGCATGCATGTGCACTATCTCTCAAAATAAAAATTAAAAAAAAAACTTAATAAAAATGGCTCTTCAGAACTTAAAAAAATACATTTTGGAATAGATTAAATATGGTATTAATCATAGTTAAGTTATCAGTGATGAAACAGTTGATTTTTATATTGTATTAATAGTGAGTAACATTAATAGTAAAGAATTCTCATTGACATAACTTTTATATATATTTAATGTGTTATATTAGAATTAATATATCCCCTCAGTTTTGTTCCTGAATTAAAATTTCTCTTTGGAGTCTACCTCATGTTTACTGTTTTTGCTGCATTTCTTTCCACTTACTTTCATTGTCTCTTACTAGTGAGGTTTAATCTAAGCAAGACCTGTAAGAAGACATAGTCTTTTATGACATTGTTTTAATACTTGTTATTTTCCATTAGGCGGCATTAAGCAAAATTATAGTATTTGTCCAATAAAAAGAGCTATAATTTACCTGCTAAAATCTGCATTTGACATTAGGGAAAGGTGTAAAATATTTCCTCTTTAGCTTAAGGAAGACCTTTGGCATTTCCAGTTCAGAAATACCTATCTGTCCATAGATGCATACACACATTGACTCTATCATAATCCACTCTTTTATAATCTACTTAACATTTTGAGTACATGTTTTATTTCTATGTATATGAAGGAAAACCTTTTGTCTTCGTATTTTCATTTAGAGGGTCTCCCTGTTGGCTTTTTCACTTAACTACATCTCTTAAGTCTTCCAAGGAGGTTATGGGTGAATAATAAAATGCCAGCTTTTAAATGTGCTACAGTAGTTTTCTACAAGTTGTTTTGCATTTTTATTTTTTTTTTTGAGTAAAATCTAAAGGGAACTTAAGCTGTTTAAAGTTTATTGTTTCAGTTTTATCAAAATAATTCAGAGACTTTTACCTAAGCTTTATCAATAACCCTGACTATTAAATTTTGAGAAAGTTTTTTATATAAATTGTCTTCTAATCTGGATAGCTAATCCACTCAGCATTTATTGAACATATACTGTGTGCTATGTGCAGTGCAAAATACTGAAGTAAAATAAAATAGATGCCACCAGCTAATCTATTTCTAATGTAGTCTATGTCAGAGATAAGACCTTGTGCTTACCCATAAGTCACAGTTATCTATATATTTATATGTAAGTTTAGACTGAGTTCTTTGAGAGGAAGAATATTCCTTTTGATCTTGTAACCTGATTATTTAATTTTGTATGGTGCCTTCTACATCATATGTTCTAATCTAAATAAATGTTTGTGAGCCAGTAAAGCAGTCAGGAAACAAACTGCTGCCAGGAGCAGTCAACTAGGTTGATTTTATTTGGAAAGTCTTGTAATTTTTATAGACAAAAATTTTTGCTTAGATTTTAGTAGAGGAGTTTGATAACAGTTCCCAATTTTCAAAACAAAAAGTTGGTGAAAAGATCAAATTAATTGGAGAGAAACTTTAGATTTTCAAGAGTCATGTGTATCTGAAAACCACCAACTAAAAGCCAGAGACCTGGTCTAAATTACTAGATATATGAACATTTAGCGGTTCAAACTGTGATAAGCCTCAATTTCTGCAATTAATAAAATGGTCATATTTAATCTACCTTGCTAACCTGATGGATTTAGAGTAAATTAAATGAACATCATTATTGCTACTCTTTTAAATTCTATTTGCTACAGATTGCCGGCTAGAAAGTTCTTATATTTGACTTTTCAGTTGATCAAGAGAAGCTAGTATCTAGTATGGTGCCAATTGACATCACTTGGGTTATGCATAGTCTGCATTCCTTACTTAATGTTTGTTTCAGGATTTTTAATTTCAAAGAGTAAAACAAATGCATGAGTATCTTGAAAATAAAACAAAACACATTTTTATAGAAAGAAAAATGTCCCACAGAAATATAATGAATTTTTTTCAGTGCAATTTCCTATTAACTAAGATAAATGTCCTAAAGGTGATTTTTAATAATCTCCAATTATTAAACATGTAGTTGACACCTTTGGTAATATATTTTTAGTAAGAGAATTTTTTGTTGTTATTTTCAGACTATTCAAAAGTTCATCTAACACAGCTGTTGGAGAAGGCTGAAGTGATTGCAGGACGGATGCTTAAATTTTCTGTTTTTTATCGTAACCAACACAAAGAATATTTTGACTATATTCGGTAAGAATAAAAAAATACAGTGATTTGCTTGACTAAATGCCATTCTAATTCTAGGCTCAGGTTTCCCTTGAGTCTAGTTCTGTGAAATACTAATTTTAGTTTCCTTTCAAAATGGTTACTTATACTCTTTTACTTCCCAGAATAACTGAGTAGAAAAATTCAGATTGTGGGATTTTTTTCCCCACAGTACTTACATTCATTTCTGCAATCATTCGTAATACCAATTCTTGTCAATTTAAGTGGAAGATCTTTAAGCTCAAGGGCTTAGACTGTTGACCATTCATGTACAAACCCCTCTAAATATAAAATATATAAAGTGACCTAAATATTCTCTTCTTATAAATCGCTTTAAGATATTGGAAATGAAGGGTGAAAGGTAACATTCGTGAAATATGGTTAATCTGGTGGGATTTTCAGGCTTCTAAGTAGAGATCTCTCAGCCATGATCATGAATTAATTATTCATGAAAACAGTCTGCTTTGTTTACTTTTGAATTCTGGTGTTCAACGAGTATTTCTAAGGTAGCCTATATTTACCCCAGAAAGCAGTTTCTGGGAATTCAAAAGAAATCTATGCTACAGGGAATTTTAATACTTTTGTATTTGTAGAAGAACATTTCAGGACACTAAATAGATGTATGTTTTAAAATAAGACTAAGAATTTTAAAATGATAAATGCTATATAGGTTCTAAAACTTTTACATAGTAGTCTCTATAATGTGTCATTTTTTAAAAGCATTGGTCTCACTTTAAATTTTGTAAGGGATTATATATGAAAAAATTTAGGAAGTTTTGTTGTTATTTATTTGTTTCATACATCTCTAGTTTTCTTAAATCAGAATCATGGTTTTAGATTTAAATATGCTCCAAGCTGTGGAAAAATGCAAAGGGAATCAGAGAGAAGTGAATTTAGGCATCAGATTTCATCAAATGAAATACTTTGCAATATCATGTTGTTTTAATACATTTTGATGCTGAAAAACATTCCTGCCTAATACTTGAATATCTTATAAACACAGAGTTTAGTTCTTAATTCTTTTAGCTAGTAAATTATTTACCCTGAGTCTCTGTAATTCATGGTGGATGCCATTCACCTAATTTAGAGAGTACAGATATAACACAAATTATTGTTTCTGTCAGTTGTGAATAGGAATGACCATATATATTGAACAAGAATATATATTTTCTTTAGGCATAAAAACTGAAAACAAAAATGATCTACTATTGTTATTTTCTCTAATAAGAAATACATGAATATAATAAATACATCTTTGGTACAGTTTAAATTCTTAGAATATTGCCACTGTGTATTGTAGGTGGCCACTGGAGGTCAGTATTTCCTTGATTTTCTCTGCCCTTTGGGTGGAAAGTAGCCTGTTTTCATGTCCTTAGATTCTAAAATTTGCATCACCTGTTGGCAAAAATTCTTCCAAGACTGAAAACAAACGATAAAGACAACTTGGAAAAAGTCATTGTATATGTTGTGTAATTGATTCCAGTCTACTCGTACAAAAGACTTATTTACTTACAGGGAATTTTACATTTGTTGGAGTTTCCATGACAGTTGTAAAATCCATGTAAATTATATATCCTGATGCAGTATATATAAATAAATATATTTCTCAATACATTGGGTACAGTTCTTCAATATTGCTTTATTAAAACGCTTTATTAAAAAATAGTAGATATTAGCTTCAGTGGACCTTGATTTTCTTTTTAGGTAATGAATTCTAATCAGGACCCACTTCCTTTATCACAAGCCCATTTAAAATAATCATCTTGTTAGTCACAGTGCTTGAATTTACTTACCTGATGAAATACTTTCCAAGTCATTATAAATTATGAAAAAGCATTAGGTAAATTCTGACTCAATCCATATAAATTGAGCTCATTTTGACCTCTCTAGAAATAAATTTCTAAGCAAATCCTGTTTTCCTTTACCCCAGGTCAAAATACCACTTTCTCTCTTACTCCTTCAGGTTCACGAGGTAGCGTCATTTCTAGACAGATGTTGGGATTCCTGGTGCTTTTAGGTGCTAGATTGTACATCTCATAGTTGACGTCTGTCACTAATACATAATTTCCTAGTCCAAATTCTTGTCTATATATTTTCTGTTGTTATTTTTTCATCAGTTGAATTTATAGATTCATGGTGGACACATATAATATTGATATTTACTTTTTGTTAATGAGAATGTAACTGTAACAAGGGTAAGAATTTTGAGCCAGGACCAGATGCTAAGTATGACTAAAAGCTCTGGACTTTATATATAAAAGAAACATAAAAATCTGAAAGGTGGAAGAAGACTGAAAAGTGGAGAGAAGATAAACCACTTAGAGACGATGGGACTCAGTGGACAACACAGTGATGAGTTCCCTAGGTTTTTTTTTTTAGCTCTTACATTCTGGACTGAGTGCTAAAGAAACCAGAAACCCAAAAATGCTGATGGATACAAAACAAAAAAACAAAACAGAAACAGAAACAAACAAACTCAGAAAGTCTGCTTTATTCACCCAAATGACCAGGAAAGGAATAGCCTTGAATACAGAAAGCTTTTAGACATTAATTGCCCTACTTCAGTTAAACACCGTGGGGGAAAACTGTTTTTCCATCCTCACCAGCCAAGGTCAAGTAGGGATACTTCTACCTTCTCCCACCTGTAAGGAAGCTCTCCCCTCTTCCACCTCCTGCTGGAGTGGTGTCAGAGAAAGTTGAATCAGAAACTGGGACTTATACTCCCCACAAGTGGCAATGTTGTACCTATCACTGTCCTCCCAAGGGTGGTGTCACAGAAGGCTACCAGAAACCAGGACTTTTCACTGCAGCCCAGGAATAAGGTTTGCCTCTGCATATCAGTGAAGTCCATGTAGGGAGCAGTACTGAGAAATCTTCTCCCTCTTCCAGGTAGATTGTATTAGCAGAAGCCTAGTGAAAGCCTATACTCTTGGTCTGCCCAGTCGTTGAGGCTGACTGGTAATCGTAGACTTTTCTTCCCTAACAGCAATGAAATGACACTCATCCATTTCTCATGCTGATACATAGTCAAAAGAGGCCTGCTCAGATACCTAGATTTAAATAAGACCTAGTGTTATAATAAGACCTAATACCCCAAAAATCCAAGATAAAATTGAAATACACTCATGACACCAAGAATCAGGAAAATCTTAACTTGAATGAGAAAAGCTGATCAACAGATATCAATCCCATATCTTAGCATTATCTGACAAGAATTTTCAAACAACCACCATAAAAGTTTTTCAATAAGCAATGACAAATATACTTGAAACAAATAAAAATAGAAACAGCAAAGATCTAGAAGATATAAAGAACTAAATGGATATTGTAGAACTGAAAAAAAAACTGTAAGTAAAAATCTTGGTGGATAAACTAAATAACAAAATGAAGGGCACAAAGGAAAGAATCCATAAACTTGAAGATAGAACAATAGAAATTACCCAAACTGAATAAGAGAAAATTAATTGGAAAAAAAAAAAAAAAAGAGCACAGCTTCACAGACATGTAGGACAAATATCGATATTAGTAGATCTAAAATCTAATACTGATATCATTAGAGTCAAAAGGAAAGGAGAAAGAGGGTGGAGCTAAGAAAGTATTCAGAGAAAAAATAGCTGATATGTTCCCAAATTGAGCAAAGGACAGAAACCTAAAGATTAAAAAAGGTAAGTAAATTTCAAATAGGATAAACCCAAATAAAATCCGTTCAAAGACACTTTATAAATTTTCGAAAATTGAAGACAAAACAAATTTTCTAAGTAATCAGAGACAAAACAGATAACTCATCTATAGGGGGTAAGCAATTTGAATAACATTGTCATTGGAAACCATGTAGACCAGAAAGAAGTGACATAGTATTTCTAAGTTCTGAAAGAGAACTGTCAACCCCAGGACCCTATATTTAGTGAAAATATCCTTAAAGAATAAAGGGGCATCAAGACATTCTCAGATGAAGGAAAATTAAGGGGAATTTGTCACCAGCATATCTACCCTTAAAAGAATGACTAAAAGAAGTTTTAGTATTTTATTTTGCTTTATTATTTTATATTTTTTATTTTATTTTATTTTTTATTTTATTCATCATAAGTGTACTCTTTAATCCCATCCCCTATGTCTCCATCCTCCCATGACCATCCCTTCAATAACCATCAGTTAGTTGTTCTCTATAGTTAAGAGTCGGTTTCTTGGTTTGTGTCTCTTTTTTATTTTGCTCATTTGTTTTGATTCTTAACTTTCACATGTGTGAAATCATGTAGTATTTGTCTTTCTCTGATGGACTTCATTTAGCTTTATATTTTCTAGTTTTATCCATTTTGTTGCAAATAGCAAGATTTCATCCTCTTTTTAGCTAAGTAATATTCCATTGCATACACCATATACACCATATCTTTTTTATCCATTCATCTGTCGGTGGACATGTGAGCAGCTTCCATACTTGGCTATGATATATATTGCTGCAGTAAACACAGGGTGCTTGTATCCCTTTGAATTAGGATTTTTGTATTTGGGTAAATACCCCAGTAGTGAAATTCTGGGATCATAGGGTATTTCTATGTTTAACTTTTTGAGGCATCTCCATACTGTTTTCCACAGTGGCTATACTAATTTGCATTCCCACCAATAGTGTAAGAGGGCTCCTTTTTCTCCATATCCTCACCGACATTTGTTTATGTTGATTTTAGCCATTCTGACAGGTATGAGGTAATATCTTATTGTAGTTTTGATTTGCATTTTCCTGATGATGAGTGATGTTGAACACGTTTTCATGTGTCTGTTGGCCAACTGGATGCCTTCTTTGAAGAAATCTCTGTTCATTTCTTTTGCCCATTTTTGTTGAGTTGTATAAGTTCTTTATATATTTGGATACTAACTCTTTATTGGATATGTCACTTGCAAGTATCTTTTCCCATTTCATTGGTTTCCTTTTCATTTTGTTGACTGTTTCTTTTACTGTACAGAAGCTTTTTATTTTTATTTTTATGTAGTCCCAGTAGCTTATTTTTGCTCTTACTTCCCCTGCCTCGGGAGACATATCTAGAAAAATGTTTCTATGGCCAGTGTCAGAGAAATTATTGCCTGTGCTCTCTTTTAGGTTTTCATGGTTTCTGGTCTCACATTTAGGTCTTTAATCTGAGTTTACTTATGTGTATGGTGTAAGAAAGTGGTCCAGTTTCATTCTTTTGCATTTAGTTTCCCAGCACCATTTGTTGAAGACACTGTCTTTTTCCCATTAGATATTGTTCCCTCCTTTGTCAAAGAGAAGATTAACCCATATAATTGTGGGTTTACTTCTGGGTTTTCTATTCTGTTCCATTGATCTATGCATCTATTTTTGTTCTAGTACCATAATGTTTTAATTACTGCCACTTTGTAATATAACTTGAAATCTGGAATTGTGATACCTCCAGCTTTGTTTTTCTTTTTCAAGATTGCTTTGGCTATTTGAGGTCTTTTGTAGTTCTATACAAATTTTAGAATTGTTCTAATTTTATGAAAAATACACTAAATTTATAGATTGCTTTGAGTAGCAAAACATTTTAACAATATTTGTTCCTCTAACCCATAAGCATGGAATATCTTTCCATTTCTTTGTGTCATCTTGAATTTTTTCTTCATTGTTTTTAAAGTACAGCCTTTCAGATTTTTGGCTAAGTTTAATATTTTATTGCCTTTGGTGAAATTGTATATGAGATTGTTTTCTTAATTTCTCTTTCTGTTGTTTCATTATTAGTGCATAGAAATGCAGTGGATTTCTGTACATTGATTTTGTATCCTGTGACTTTACTGAATTCATGAATCATTTCTAATAGGTTTTCGGTGGAGTTTTTAAGGTTTTTTTAAAGTTTATTTGTTTTTGAGAGAGAGAGAGGGAGAGAAAATGCAGGAAGAGCAGCGAGAGAGGGAGAGAGAGAGAAAATCCCAAGCAGGCTCTGCACTGACAGTCCACTGACAGTGAAGAGCCTGATGCGGGGCTCAAACCCATGAACCATGAGATCATGACCTGAGCCGAAACCAAGAGTTGGACACTTAACCAACTGAGCCACCCGGGTGCTCCATTTAGGGTTTTTATATGTAATATATAGTATATATAGTGAGAGTTTTACTTCTTCCTTACCAATTTGGATACTTTTTAATAGTTTGAGAAGAATGGGTATTAAGTCTTCTTTAAACGTTTTGTAGAATTTGTTTGTGAAGTTGTCTAGTCCTGGACTTTTGTTTTCTTGAAAGGTTTTTGATTATCATTTTGACTTCATTGATGGTAATAGGTCTGTTCAAATTTTCTATTTCTTCTTGCTTTAGCTTTGATAGGTTATATGTTTCTAGGAATTTATCCATTTCTTTTAGGTTGTCCAGTTTGTTGGCACATAAGATCTTTCACAGTTGTGTGTATTTTTGTGGTGTTGGTTGTTATTTATCCTCTTCCATTAGTATTGTGAATTTGTGTCCTCTTTTTTTCAATGAGTCTTCCTAGTGGTTTATCAACTTTGTTAATCTTTTTGAAGAACCACCTCCTGGTTTCATTGATATGTTCTGTTATGCTTTTTTAGTTTCTATATCATTTATTTCTACTCTAATCTTTATTATTTTCTTCCTTTGCTGGGTTTGAGTTTTGTTTTTTCTTCTTTTTATAGCTCCTTTTGGGGTTAAGTAAGATTGTTTGAGATTTTTTTTTCTTGCTTCTTGAGATAGGCCTGTATTGCTCTAAACCTCCCTCTTAGAACGTTTTGCTGCACCCCAAAGATTTTGGACCATTGTGTTTTTTTTAAAGTTTTTGAAAAACGAAGGGAATTATAATAGAAGAAATTTTTGGAACATCAGGAGGAAAGAAGAACAGTAAGAATAAAAATGTGGGGTCCAATTGGAATGTCATACATCATTTATTTTTCAAGTGTCTTCTACTATGTGACAGACTGTTTCTTGGTCTCACTTTGAATCTGTATTTTTTAAATAAGCTTCCTTGGTAGTAGAATTTGAGGCTAATTGCTGTTCTAAAGTCAGGGGAGATCTTGGGCACACCTCACTTATCCAAAGTCTCTTTTAGTAAAAATATAACTACCCTATGTAGCAGTAGCACTACTAGGAGTTTGTCTAGAGGATACAGGAGTGCTGTTTCATAGGGGCACATGTACCCCAATGTTTATGGCCACGCTTTCAACAATAGCCAAATTATGAAAAGAGCCTAAATGTCCATCAACTGATGAATGGATAAAGAAGATGTGGTTTATATATATAATGGAATACTACTTGGCAATGAGAAAGAATGAAATCCTGCCATTTGCAGCAACATGGATGGAATTGGAGAGTATTATGCTAAGTGAAACAAGTCAGTCGAGAGAGACAGAATATCATGTTTTTACTCGCATGTAGAACTTGAGCAACTTAACAGAAGACCATGGTAAAGGGAATGGGAAAAGATAGTTACAAACAGAGAGTGAGGAAGGCAAATCATAAGAGACTCTTAAATACAGAGAACAAACTGAAGATTCATGGGGAGGGAGGTGGAGGAGAGGGGAAAATGGGTGATGGGCATTGACGAGGGCACTTGTCGGAATGAGCACTTGGGTGTTGTATGTAAGTGAATCACGGGATACACTGTATACACTGTATGTTAGCCAACTTGACAATAAATTACATTTTTAAAAAAAGAATAGAATGAGAAGAAGGAGAAGAGAATAAGAAGGAGAAGCAGCAGCATGTTGCCTGGGAACTTTCTCATGCCTACATAGTAGGTTGTATTTTTCATCCCAAGTCTTTCTGGTCAAGGACCCAACAAGAAAGAGAAGGGGCATTTAGTAGGAGTTCTTGAGAAAATTTGACAGAAGCACCATTCTCAAAGTTATAGGTAGGGTTAAGGCAACTAATAAGGAATGCTAAAGCAACCAAGAACTATCAAGAGTTGGAAAGTTTTACTATTCTTGAAAAGGGGGACAGAGGACACCTGATAGGAGAAATAGAGACGTGGTACAGATGAATTCACCTACGTAAGAACCACAAGGTTCTGAAGCATGGAGGAATTAGAAGACAACACACTCAAGGCTTTATTCCCTCCTCTCCTAGATATGCTGGTGCCCACACTGGCAGAACTGAAATGTAAGGGACCAAGGGAGGATGAACTGGATGATAGAGTCCCAGCCCACAGTGGAAGGCAAGAAGGATGGAGAATAGAACTGGGGGAATGGTAAAGGAGGAATAACCAGCTCTGTTGTAAGAAAAACACAAGAGAAAGGACCTGATTAGCAAACAGTACCCTGGGGGAAAAAAACCTAAAAAACAAAATAACACAAAACACTTTTGTGCCAATATACATGGACAGTACTCAGGACTAAATTTATGGCATACTTTAAAGAAACATCCAGTATATTTAACTAACCAATAACGTTAGTACAGTTTTCTCTTCAAAAAGCTACTTCTAAAACTCAATAGGTGGGGTGCCTGGGTGGCTCAGTCGATTGGGCATCCGACTTCAGCTCAGGTCATGATCTCATGGTTTGTGGGTTCGAGCCCTGCATGGGGCTCTGTGCTGACAGCTAGCTCAGAGCCTGAAGCCTGCTTCAGATTCTGTATCTCCCTCTCTCTCTGACCGTCCCCTGCTCACGCTCTCTCTCTCATTCTTCTCTCTCTCAGAAATAAATAAAACATTAAAAAAGAAAAGTTTTAAAAAAATCCAGTAGGCATATAATAATGGATGTGATTTCAGTTGTAAGGTTTCTAATTCCAGTTTGGTTTTTCTGGCCAGGGAATTTATTATATAAAGACCTCCAAGGTTTGTAGACCATTCTAGCATTAAAGCACATAAAAGTAAAGTAGGTCAAAAAATGGATTCTCCTTGATCTGATAGTAGGATGATTCAGACTTTTAGACTGTCCACCACTAAAATCTTCATATAAATCAATAGCTTTACTACTATTATATCAAGAAGTGATCATTTCTTTTCTATTGCAGGGAACATCATGGGAATGCTATGCAGCCATCTGTCAAGGATAACAGTGGTAGCCATGGCTCTCCTATCAGTGGAAAATTAGAAGGCATTTTCTTCAGCTGCAGCACTGAATTTAATACTGGGAAGCCACCCCAGGATTCCCCTTATGGAAGATACAGGTTTGAGATTGCAGCAGAAAAACTTTTTAACCCCAATAGTAACTTATACTTTGGGGACTTCTACTGTATGTACACTGCTTATCATTATGTGATTCTTGTTATTGCCCCTGTGGGATCACCAGGAGATGAATTTTGTAAGCAGCGCCTTCCTCAGCTAAATTCCAAGGATAATAAATTTTTGACCTGCACAGAAGAAGATGGGGTGCTGGTTTACCACCATGCCCAGGATGTCATTTTAGAAGTCATTTACACTGATCCTGTGGATCTTTCTCTGGGCACTGTAGCAGAAATCACTGGTCATCAGCTCATGAGTCTGTCTACTGCAAATGCAAAGAAAGATCCCAGCTGCAAAACCTGTAATATCAGTGTTGGACGTTAATGCCCACTTTTCTTACGCAGTCCCTTTTCTTCCCTTAGGAGCATTGATCCTCTGTTGTCCATTTTCATCACCAGATGTTTTCCACTGAAGCATGCACATGCCGCTATCACCAAAAGCAAACTGCCATTTTTCAAATTCCATTCAGAGCCATTTTAGTGTTTCCTATTCCCTGCCCTTCCCATTACTTTCAATGATGAAAGTTCTCCTCTGACACTTTATTGCCTAGATGCTGCAATGTTTTTATTTTTCCTTTATGCCAAACATAACAAGACAATTATATAAACGCTTTAGCAAAACACAAAATAACAGCTTATAAATGGTGTTTAAATATGCATTCATTTTAATCTACTGAACGAATATTGGGATAACTCCAAACCGCATGAAAGGGTGTAATTGCAGCATGAGTTAAATCTTGAAGCCTAGAATTGTCAACACTTCCAACTTGTTGTTTGACAGTGTTATTTATGTTATTTATATTAGCTAACAGGAAACAACTATTGTGTTTCAACATAATAAATATAATAGAAAAATATTTTATTTGTATTGTTGTATAAAATATTTACAATCATATAGAATATATAGAGTTACATTTTAATAGCAATTGTATACATGTCATGAAACCATTTCCCTTATCAAAGATGTAGTTTGTAAACTTCAAATAGTTGTGTATCTGTCCTGTTACAAGTAGATGACTTCAATTAAACAACTTTATGAAGGACATCATTCTGGTTCATAAAAGTTATAAAATACCAGGTAAATACAGAGTAGACAATAAGCCTCTGAAATACTCTACTTCTGAAAGTCAATATTCTTCCCAACCAAACTATATGAAAATGTGAATTTGTTCAGCATCTTGCTTAAACATTACAGAAAACAGAAATACAAACATGGTTGTTACAAGAGAGAAAACATTGACCTCTTATTTTTACAAAGGCAAAAATAATAAATGTGTTTTAATACAAAATAACACAAAACTATATGCACTAAAGTTGATGAAGCAAACAAAATGTACAGGCTTCTTTTCCAAGGTGTCTTAACAGTATACAAATTTTGTGCAAGATGAAGAATACCTACAACTCATGAGAAAGCTTTGTGACTTTACAAAGTATAGACCTTGGAACCTTAAGAAAAATGCATATTCCCAATGGAAAAATAGTTATATAATCTTATAGTAAACAAAAAAGGTAGCAATCATAACTATGATCACATTAGATTATATACTGCAGACCATGAATCTATCCCAAAATACCTACTTTCAAATTTTAATACAATATTTTATTTTAATATAAACATCTGTCATTATAGACAAAGTTAATTCAGAAAGTACATGCTATCAGAATGAACTTTGGTAACCAGAAATGTAAAATCTCAAATAACTGATAAAATAATGTGCTATTTTTATATGGAAATAAAAAATTAGCAGTGACACATTCTAGTATGCTTTACTGAATAGCCTAGCAGACTTAAGGGAAAAGGTAGATTTTTTTAATCACTTAAAAATCTATTAGAAGTTTTAAATAAATTAAATTCTTGCTAGCCATATTCCTGCCTACATAAAAAGAAAAGTTTCTTTTCCTCCTCTTATTATTTTTTTAAAAATCATGCTCTTTCTCATATATTAACATAAGCAATTTTTGGACACAAAATAGACTTTTCCTAACAAGTGGCCCACTGAACAAGTATTATTTAGATTTGATAAAATATTAAGATATTTTTTGAAATAATTATACTGACCATGTGTTTTCTCCTTGGCATGGAGCGAACAATATTTTTTTTTCCAATTATACTGTTACTTATTATATTTCCCCCATTTAAATCCTCCACCCTCATTTATAATTACATTTGCCATCCCTTCTTAAAAATAGCTCATATTACCACTAAAGTGCTTCAATTTTCAGAATGTCAAAACTACTTAGCAAGAATGGCAGTGGTAAAGAAACTTGGCCTTATCCTTGTTGAAATACTTCCTGAAACTCAGATGGTTTTGGCCACATCTTGCTTGCTGATGAGGACCTCTAATAGTCTCAGTTTGGCTTTTATGTGCTTGTATTCATAGTACTCATCTGCCATTGGTATCCTATCTTCCTTTTGTGGACTTCTGCAAAACAGGAAAGACTCTCTATTAGCTCATAATAAATTCAGTCATTAAAAATCCTTTTATAATTTTTACATGAGAATGTACAGGGTAGATATTTCCACTTAGTTTTTCCATCATTTGTTTTTCAGCTCACCTTCCACCTTCACACCCTCCCTCTTTCATGTGCTATTTGATTTTTATATAATAGTACCCTTTGAGAACTTGAATCTCATAAGTGTTTTGCAAATATATAATCCAGTGCTGAGACATAACAATGGAACAAGTAAAAAGGTCTGAGGGATAAAACAAAATCCAGAACTCAAGACATTCTTTATCTAGTTATTCTACCATTATTCATGCCAAAGTCCCATACCTGTGCAGAGTGTCCATCTCTGACAGTGAGAATTGTTCAAAATTCAACCAAAAAAAGCTACAGAAATTAATAGAATTTATAAATTTATTGTGATAGGGGAAAAAAGGCTCATTGGCCATCTTGTAAACATGAAATATTTCCAAGTTTTCTTTTAATTATAATACCTATTTCTGCCAATGTGTAGTAGAATCAAGGAGATGTTCATGGATTGAATTTATGGGAGTGTGAATTGCAGTGGGTTCTCTTGCACACTAATTCTAAGCTACACATCTGACCAAGCATAGTTTATACATATGCATTCTAACTACTGTGTATTCTTGCCATTTACTTTGAAGAATGTTTGGGTAACATCTGGAGTTAAAACTGTGTCCTACCCATAAAAATAAGTTGCCAGGATATGTTTTATAAAGGGTAGTAATTGATTCAGGATCTTAGAAGGCCTTTGTCTCCTTGGTTGATAAGATGACCAATTGCTTTTAGAACATTTTCACTCATGACTTTGAAATTCATGGGGTGGAAAACAGATGAAGTACTACTGTTGCTACTGAAAATAAACACTAATATTAGTATGGCTGAATCTAGGTAAATAGCAAGCATTTAATGTTTTACCTATAGTCCCTTCTATTTTCCCAGTACTGATAAAAGAAATACCTCTCACAAATTAAAAAAAAAGTGAATGTATAAAGATTTCCTAAGAATGTAGTTATCTACTTGTGATACACCCTGGAATTTCTAGTACAGAACTCAGAAGAGTACACAAATCTATAGACAAGGTTTCTATTAAACATTGCCTAAATTATTTAACAATTGCTTGCCTCCGTTCTGTGTTATGCTTATGTTACCCAACCTTTTATCTGGGCATTTAATACCACCTTAACTTCTATAAACATATATAAGTGAAGAAACGGTCTAATTTATAGAGAAATACTAGTAATCCATCATGTAACTTTTCCCTGGTCCTGCACACTACATTTTGGCTCATAAAGCAGAGTGCATTGGCCATAATGAAAATTTTTGCTAAGTATTTTCTGAAGCAACTTTCCTGTTATGTAAAGCATGTTAATGTGCTTAATACAGTTCCTGGCTGATAACTGTTAATGTCATATCTATAAGATTAGTCCTCTTGCTTGGCAAATATTACCAAGAACATTTATAGTAACTTAAACTTTTTAGTACTCTATTTGCATGGTTATTTTACCTTATGGATAGGATTAGGCTTTCCTAATAAAATGTTTTAGGAAAAAAGATTAAGATTCATATTTCCTTAACCATTCAACCCTTTGACTTTAGTTGTGATCTACTACCACTTTGGCATTTAATTTAAATATATTATCACAAGAGGGCCTAAAACCTCAGTCAAATATAGGCATATCTGAAGTGGGGTTAGGACTCAAAGGTACAGTAAATTACTATACATAGAACATCACTAACTTCTCTGTACATCAAAAGGAAAAGGCATGCCAAATACCACTCTCTAGTGGCAGTCCTCCGTTAGGCAGGACTACTAGCACACTGGTGGGTGAGGGGGATTCTCAAAGTTTTAGACTCCTAGGTTCATATAGGTAAAAAAAAAATTGTAAATATAGAAGCTTTATGGAAATTCTGTAAAGGAAAAAAATGGAAATAGGAAAAGAAAATGAAAAATTATGTTTTATAATCTAAATTTAACAGCCACATAACATTTTTCACTAGATTAGTTAACAACAGCAGAAAGGTACAGTTGGAATCCAGGTAGAAAACAAAGTGAGTTACATCTGTATTTGCTGAGTAAAAAAAGTTTGGCTTAATAGGTCAAGTCCTAGTGTACCACTCTGGAGGACTGAAATGGAGAAACTGCTAAGAGATGAGTAGATGAAGTTTTCAGGTGCTTTAGAAATCAGGTCAACCCTCAGTCTGCTGAAATGGAAGGGATTCAGGAGAAGCAGATATGTAGATGGAGAGGAATATCAAGGGGCCAGTGTATCACTGACTCCCACCTCTGCCACCTTAATAACTTTGTGACTTTGAGAAAGTTACATCTTATTATTTTTAATACTGACATCCCACATGACACCTAGAACTTCCCAAAGTATTCCAGGAAGTCCAATCATTTCATCTTACAACCATGGAAGCTGGCTTAGGATAGCCAAATGATTTTTCTTCTTTCTCTTACATAGATCAATAATCCTTAATCTCATGATATACATAAATACAGACACATACACACAAATAATCCTTCATCTCATAATTATATATATATATATACATGCACACATATATAACACAAATATAAATACATATATAAATTGTACTTATAAAATTATATATACATTGGCAATACACCCAAATTTAGAGGAAACTAGGGGAGCCTGGGTGGCTCAGATGGTTAAGCGTACGACTTTGGCTCAGGTCATGATCTCATGGCCTGCATCAGGCTCTATGCTGACAGCTAGCTCAGAGCCTGGAGCCTCTTTTGGATTCTGTGTCTCCCTGTCTCTCTGACTCTCCCCTGCTCATGCTGTCTCTCTCTCTCTCTCTCAGAAATAAATAAAACATTAAAAAAATTTTTAGAGGAAACTAATGGAGTGCATAATGAAACTTGGGTTGACAAAAATAGACAAATAGAGGATATGGCTAAGCATTTATTTAAAGAATAGAGAGAAGAGCTATGAATGTTAGACCAAACCATGAAAATAAATAATTAAGGGTAGATCCTGAAGTTTAAAAGTTATATTTAAAGCAAAGGAAGAATTGTTTAATGAACTAGGGAATAATTCGTAAAACTAACCAAGAACAAATAAATTATATGGGTTAAAAAATCAAATAGATTTTTTAAAGTTTTAGATAAATCCAATAATTATAAAGAAATTTGTTAAGCAAAGTTAAGGATTTTTAGAATTCATCTTTTATTTTTTTAAAGCCTGGTGTCATACATCCTCCCAAAAAACATACCTAATAATGGCAAATATTAGAATGTTGCATTAGATCCTGAGTCTCAGTCACTATTGAAATTATTTATATCTTCTATAAAATCACATTGCTGCCAAAAACTGCAGCTCATTCTTAACAATAGTTCCCTAGAAAATACTAGCTTAAAAAAAAACTTTGCCCACACTTACCTTCCCGTTTGTTTAAAAAACTGTTCTTCAAATTCTCTTAAGGCTTTCCGAAGTCTCTTCTTGTCAGCCCTAGTTTCTCGGAGATGGTCAAGAAGTACAGGCCTATACCAAGTAAAATACAGATTTGCTGTTACTGAACTCTGCATTATTGAAACATCAAGACAATTTATCAATTCATCAAATCATATTATGATACTGATGGGTAGCCTAAAAGAGTATCTTTTGAATAAATATAGTATATGTAGAGCCTAATCATAGGGAAGCATATAAGCAGAGGATGAAAACAATGTCATAGGAGAGGAGAAGGGAGGAGACAAGCTGACTGAGTGACTGAATCCATTATAAAATGTGGTAGGGTGCAGCGCCTGTCTAGCTAAGTCAGGAGAGCATGTGACTCTAGATCTCAGGGTTGTAAGTTCGAGCCCCACATTGGGTGTAGAGATTACTTAAAATCTCAAGAAAGATAAAAATGAAGTGTGATGAGGGTAATGACCATATGAATGGATGAGGGAGAAGGAGACATTGTAAAAGAATACTCATTGGTATTTGGTGATAGACTAGACTTAAGAGACACAAGAAGAAGAGAGTTTAAAGAAAATTCCACCCTTATTGTAGAGTATAGCGAAAATGGCAAAACCCATGGGAATGAAACTAAGACCTGAAATGAAGGTAGAGTTAAACTGAAACTTCTACTCACTTCATTCTACTAAGGCAAAGTCATACACTTTTAGAGCAGGAATTTTTATCTAGTGAACTTGTGCATGGTTTCAGAGACTTTGAACTCCCTAAAATTATATATTGACATTTCTTAAAAAAAAAAAAAAAAGAATTCTAACACCTCTCAAAAGCTGCTTCAGAACAACCAACCAACCAACAATAAATAAATGAAGGAAAGGAAAGAGAGGGAATGAGGGAGAGAAAGAAGAAAGAAAAAAAAGAATGGAAGATGGATTTTCTGCTTCCAAACAGATTACTTCTCTGAGCCGAAGTTGTGGTACCAACTGATTCTACAAGCACACTAAAATCTCAGTTTACAACTTAGTCCTTAGTCTCACCTTATATATTTTGGGGGATTCCATACCTATCTTGAGGTATACACTTACCACACTATAATACATGTTAAAGGAAATCTCATAATCTGGCCTATAATATACAAACTGAAGAAAGTCAAATGATAAAAGGAATGCTGCCTACTAAAAAATGGTAATGATAATACTAATGAAAATACAAATAGCTCCTGAGGGTGGTAGGAGAAGAAGGGCAACTCATTTTCTTAAGCCCAAGGAGATTCCCAGCCTAGAGAAACCATCTTATCTAAAGGCCTTGACAAATGTTGAGTCATGTGGGATCCCAATTCCTTTTGGTCCAGCATTTTCAAAGGCCAGCTCTGCTTCACACACTGCTGAGAATTAGACTGGTGCCAGACCCTGCTGAAAAGATATGCAACTATAGGAAATTGAACATTAGCATTTTTGGCAACTTTGGGACCTTATTGGGAGTGTTGGTTCCTCATGGCTTTGTCTTCTCAATTCTCCAGTAAAGAGAACAACCAGATTATGCTTTTAAGCTGCTCTCTGGCAGGTTGCATTTTTTAGAGAGCCTAACAGCTCTTGTGAATTTTGTATGCACATATAAGGTACCCCAGACTAGAAGGAGTTAGAAAGAGACTCTATATTTAAGATTCATACTCACATCGTGGCCTCATGTAAATTGGACATGGATAGAGCTGGTTGTTTGATTTCTTTTTTTTCATCTGGCAGCAGGACCCTAATAGGCTCAGTTTCATTAGAAAAGGTGAGGTGGTCACCAATAGGAAGGTGAGATGCTGGATCTGGCAAAGAAGGTTGTTGGCTTCCCTGTGGACAGTCTTCATCAGAGTCCTCTTCCTCCTGCTTATCACAAGCAGAGTTAATTCAAGTCACAAAAATGGTAAGTGACTCTTGAAGCAAAAACAGGAAGTGGAACCACAATTAGACACCATGAGAAGAATAGGTGAACTCTGTACCTACTAAAAAACCAGAAACAACCAAGAGTGACTCTTCTCCGGTTGCATCAAAGAACTTACAGAAGTTAATGAGCAAAGAGGCACCCCCGCATGCTTGGCTAAAATGCTCAGCAAGCTCATCTTTTTGCTGGGCCAAAGAAGGCATAGAATCTAGGATATGGTCCCATTCTTGGTTGCACTGCCTCCTAGTTCTTCCCTCTCACTCAGACATGGGCCCCAGCTTCACAACAATTACATGGGTTAGGATGAAAGGGACTTCAGACACATTTTGCCATTCAGAAATACCCCACATCAAGTCCTGGTGTGAGCCACATTCCGATACAGAGAATAGTCAGAAAATTGACAAATTCAGAGAAGAGCTCTATGAAGGCCAAAACAAAATGGAGTTATTCCTTAACCTGTTCTGCTAATACTTACCAGTATTACAAATACAACCAAAAGAATTTCTTGCAAGGAAATCTGAAAATCATACCCCATTTTAAACCATGCTTCCTTAATGGAAACATTTTAGAGATTATGAATCACTATTGTGTTTGTCTTTGAAATTGTGAAATTATAAATGTAGTCCAGTATGCTTAAATGTATATTTGTTAATGTTTATTCCTTTTTATATTGATACTTTGAGCAAGTGACTGTTTTAATATTAATGGAGTAGGATTTGTGGTGCCTTTCCAGTTCTGTATTCCCATAAATCATTCTTTATTAAAAACAGTCTAGCTCAATTTCAGTGGCCATGTTTTCTACTGAAATAAATCTTGTGTTTTATACAGTGATTGTCAAATGGTACGAAAAACAAATGTTTCATTGTATCAAGGAATATGTAGTCAATTTTCTTTATTAAAGAAGAAAAATTAACACAGAGAATAGAAAGGCTCTGTGTGGTCTAGCTGTGTTGTAAATTAGATGATGCTAAATTGAAATTCATCAGTTGTTCTCCTCATCCAAGAAATTGAAGCAAATATTAAAACTGACTTCAAAAATGCAATTGCTGGGGCACCTGGGTGGCTCAGTTGGTTTAAGCGTCTCACTCTTGACTTTGGCTCAGCTCATGTTCTCGTGGTTTGTGAGTGCAAGCTCTACAAGAGCCTACCTGGGATTTTCTCTCTTACCCTTTCTCCCTGCCCCTCCCATGTGTGCTCTTTCACAAAATAAAATAACTTTAAAAATGCAATTTCTATATATTCCTGTTCCATGATAGTTTTAATTGTCAGCCACTTGTTAGGTATAATATTTGGTTCAAAGCAGACCACATTTCTAGTTTGTGAAATAACAGCTGACCTTGTTAGCAGCATATACTGCCAAGAGGCTTCTTTATAACTGTCATAGTGCTGCCTCCCTACTTAAACAATACCAAGCACAAGTACAGGTTTCTAGTTAGTGCAAGCATCCTGACTTACAATTGTTGGAATAAGGGAAGGTGTTGACAAGATTTGCTTGATAATTCTGTATCGGTCATAAAGAGGCTTTATGAGGTTCTTGTCTTGCTTAGCTCCCTGAAAAACATGAAATTAATTATTATTCCTTTCTCAGAAAAGAATGAAAACATGTCAGTATTTTTAGCAGGAAAAAAACATTTTTGAAGCCTCAAAGTAAGGAATTAATAATACTATAATGCAACAGTAATTAGAGAAAGGGAAGTCACTTATAAGATACTGTTTAAGGCACATGCCAATTTCCTTCCAGGAAATTTTCTTAAAGGATAGGTCCAAGTTTAGAAAGATGTTTTTAAAGCTTTCTGAAGGAATCCTAAATATGTAAATGGTAAAAAGCCCGTTATTTTACTTCTTCATTCTTAAAAAAACAATATGTAGACCTATCGATCTTTCTTCTGAAACATGTATTTTATCTGTATCTTCATGATTATATTCGCATATATAATCACTTCGTATAGGTCCTCATCACAAGCTTGGAGTGTATACTAGCTTACTGGCTAGCTCTGCCATAAATTATTTTTACTTAACAATTATTATCCTCATCTTACCTGTACATTAAGGAGGTTGGAATTACAAAGTTCCTTACAACTGAAAGATTTCATAAACTCTTGGTCCAAAAATGTATTCTTCTACCTCACTGCTGTATGGCCCATCCCTAAGCACCACTTTCAACAGGTCACACTGTGCATAAAAATTTAAATAGCTTCCTATTTATCTATCAATCCTCTACCTATCTACCCCCCACTACCACCACTCCTCTCTCTCCATCCAAAGTGACCAAACCTCTGCTTGCCTTGGTTTTCCTCCCTTCTGTATATCCTACATTAATTTTCTATATATTTAAATAGCAATTTTTTTCACTGTGGTCAGATGGTTCTCACTCAGTAACTAGCAGGAAGGGGATAGTCGAAATAGCACAGAGCATAATCACCCAGGTATCTTTTGTCAAAGTACACATACCCAAGGTGCTCTCTAGATCTCTGCCTTCCAGATCCCACATAGGGATCCTGAAGGAAAAGAACATGGCTTAAGCATGTGTATTTTTCAAACTTCCTAGTTATTCACATATCACCCTACCCCTGTCCCAGTTGAGAACCATTCTGGCCCACACTTAGCTCCCTTTTCTTTGAACTTTTCTGTCTTATTATCTGGGCCTTAACTATGTACTATATTTCAGTTTTGTCTCCCAAATGAATTAGAAGTTTCTTGAGGACAAAGATTATATCACATATTATTAAAAAAATTCTCACAGTACTCAATAAATATAAATATATTTTTATATTTATAAATAAAATATAAATATATCAACTCAGGCTTAAAAACAAAAGTACCCTAATTTTTAACAATCTTCATATAAATTCCACAGGCTATAACCTAAGACTTTCATTTTCAGTAGAAAGATCACCTCTCTCTGTAGGAGACTTTTAAATATTGGTTAAGTAACTTAGGGTTAAAGAGCCTTTCATTTTTCCAGCCAAATCATTTCTTAAATATGTTCTTAGTCATGATACATCTTGGCATATTAAAAAAAAAAACAATCCTTTCATCTATTCTATGGGGTTTTAGTAAGTAATAAAGAAAAAAAATCTCAATCCAAGTTCAGAAAACATGAACAATGATTTTTATTCAGTGTCTCATTGCGACTTATATTCCAGAGAAAGCACTTCAGAAATATGATGCATTTAACTATTATTAGCATCTCTCTATGGCAGTTTGATTTTTGTAATTTTATTTATTTTTACTATATTTTCTGGATTCTAGGAAAGCTAAATTCTGTCCTAAAAGAGAAGAAGAGTAACCAAAAAGCAGCTTAGAATGATAAATGCCATTATACAAGAGTATCTTCCAAAGATGCCAGATGAAAATCAGGGCCCAAGTAAAACGTATGCGCTCATCTTTCACTCTGATGAGTTGATTTTACTCTTAGAATCATTACCAAAGCAATCCCTTAAAAGAGACATGACAATTCAATAGATATAAGTACAAAGCACTGTCAAAACTAATTCTGTAAGTGCTCATCCTCAAATAGACAGGAAGGCAGGCTGCATGAACTAGAAGGGTTAGTGGTCAGACAATGTGCCAGGAGCTCTCTTCTGCTCACAGACCACAGACCTATGGCGAGAAGCTGTAGGAGGCCTGCAAAGTCAATCTTCATGAAGGAAGATGAGTCCAGAGGTAGGCTCTAAACACCAAATGTAAAAATTTCATAAAGGTCTCTCTAGAAAGGAAATAATTCTTCATCTTGGAAGTTTTAATATTTAATGTATTTTCAACATTAAAGCAAGGACACCAGTTGAAAATTATCTGGCAATTTGAGTTTAAAGAAATAGAACCTAATCAGATAATCTCAAATGCTAATGAGTTCACTGAGGAGCCTGGAATAATATAGCTACTGTGGAAATTTGCAATCCTCCCTTGGCTTCTTCTGTGGTTTTTAGACTCTCCTGTAGGAACTACCTGATAGCTGACTAGCCTCTTTCAGGTTTGCTATGTTAAACTCCCCCAGGAACAATAACTACAGCTTTAGATATTGAGGGCTACATTTTCCACTAGAGATGCCTTCTATTTAAAGGGCCTCACTTTAGCCTACTGCAGAGATGCTAGCTTTATCTGAAAGGGTGTCTGACACATATTAGACAGTTCAACGGATATTTCATTTAAAATAATAGAAGTAAATTGCCATTTAAGCAAAGGTAACTTCCAAAGATCTCAAATATGTTTCTCTGATCTTTAGACTCTCATGTGCATGTGCCTATTAGACTTAGATGTCTCAGTAGGGTGACCAACTGTCTCCATTTTTCCAAAATGTGGCACTTTGAAGGACATGAAATTTTCAGAATCCAGGAAAATCCAAGGAAATCAGGGATGTTTGGTCACTTTATTCCTCAAAGATATTAAAGTTAACATGCTCAAAACAGAACCTCTTAATTTTTCACTCCAATCCCTAATCTGTTCCTTGTATAGTTTCCCCTATCTCAGTAAATGGACCTGTCACCATCTTGGATTCTTCCTTTCCCTCACTCCCTTCTATCCAATGATTCAGCACATCCTTTGATTCTGCATCCAAAATATACTTTGAATATGTCTATTTCTTTCCATTCCCAAGGCTTTCATGCTAGTCCAAACCACCCATTTCCTCTTTCCTTTTCCACTCTTTTCCCCTGTGATTTATTCTCCATGCAGCAATCAGAGTGATTTTTTAGGGGCACATGGGTGGCTCAGTCAGCTAAGCATCTGACTTCGGCTCAGGTCAAGATCTCACAGTTCATGAGTTTGAGCCCTGCATTGGGCTGTGAGCTCAGAGCCTGGAGCCTGCTTCAGATTCTGTATCCCCCCCTTTTCCCCTCCCCAGCTCATTCTCTCATTCTCTTTCTCCTCCCTATCTCTCATGTCTCTGTCTCTGTCTCTGTCTCTCTCTCTCAAGAATAAACATTAAAATATTTGTCAGAAAGATCTTTTAAATGTAAATCATACCATGTCACTTTCCTGCTGTCAACCACTCAACAGCTTTCTGATACTTTAGATAGTAGCCTAAACAGTACTGTCTCAGGGGCTCCAGTCTAAATTTCTGACTTCATCCTGTGCTCTAGCCCTCAGACCCAACAATTCCAAGTACACACAAGCTCTCCCTTCAAGGCCTTCATATATGCAGTTACAACTGCCTAGAATGATTTTTGCTGCTCTCTCGGCATGCTGATTCTTCATTAAATGTCACCCACTGGTCTTCCTAATCACATTATATAAAGTAGAAATCATACCCATTATTTTCTACATTATCTAATTCTTTGCACACTACTTATCAAAATCTTTAATAATTTTACTTATTTAGCTGTTTGTTGTATCACAATTTTCACAAGAACATGAGCTCCACAAGGACAATAACCCTCATAGCTTCTCTTATCTTGCTTATTATATCCAGCATGTATCATACATCACAACACATAATAGGCACTCAAATATTTTTGCAAATGAGTGATTGCCCACTAGTCACCAGGCATCTTTCCTTATTGTTACAATAATTATGTAAGTAGGTATTATCTGTATTTTATAGATGAGTAAATTGAATCTCAGAGAAATAATTCACTTGCTAAGTGTACATGGCTAGAAAGTGACTTGTTGAAGCATTGAATCCTGATCTAAGTCTATCAATCCTAACTCATCCCTCACTGTTTTAATCAAGTAGAACATAGAATTAGGACTTGAGTGTTGACCAAGCTTCTTTTATAGATATGGCTAGGGCAACTAGAAAATACAAGAAAGACCATAAAAAGCACTGAAAGAAAACCACTGTAGTGCCTGAGAGGGAGTGAGTGAGTGTTTGTGTGTGTGTGTGTGTGTGTGTGTGTGTGTGTGTGTGTGACATCCACTTATCTGCTGGCTATCACAAAAATCTAGAATCTTTGGTGGGGAAGGAATGAGTTGGCCAAGTGGATAAAAACCTATTCACTTCTTACAACATAGAATTTTTTTTTAATCTAAAAGTATTTCATAAAAATAGAGGTGGCCAAAGACCCATTTCTGCTTGTACATCACAAGTCTCCATGTAAATAACAAGTCCAGGGGCATATGGTGAGCCTTTTGGGATTTGGCATGTGTTGTCACCTATGATTAAGACCAGATAATGTGCAATAGAACAGGTAAAGGCAGAATGCTCCTCAAGAATACTCGATTACAAAGTTAAATATGCTAGTTTGTTCATTCATCTGTCCGTTTATTCAGCAAACATTTATTCAATACCTACTATGTACAGACACTGTAGGATCATGAGCTACAAAGAGCTCTTCTACTCAAGATGTCTAAAGAATAAAATGAGAGACAAAATGTCATACAGCATAGTTAGGACTATGATAGGGAAGCTACAACTCTTATTCAAGAAATTAAAAGCAACCGTACCACTCCTAGAGTTGATACAGAAAGGACTACAAGGAAGGTTCCCAGGCATAAATGAAATACAAGCACAGATATGCAAGATGAGAAGGAATTAACCACCTAAATACTAATTGCTTTCATTATTTTCTTTGTCAAATATGATAAAGCTTTTCTTTGAGCTCTAGGCCCGTATGTCCAAATGCCTAATGGACAACTGTACCAAAATTTTTCACAAAGATTTTAAAACTAAGATGTCTGAAGACTTCAGTCTAAAGTCTAAAACTGAAGTCTTTAGACATCTTGTTACGTAACACTCTCTTAAAAAGCCTACCTCTCTATTCTTTTAAGATACTAAACCATTTTCCTTACTATGTATACCTCATCCCAGCTTTATTATTTTTAAATAAAACATGATAACATGGAATTGTAATACTAATCTTGGGTTAATTTGCTAACTTATTAGGGGAATGAGGGTGAAAGTAGATATGCTATACCCTAATATCTTGTTATCTGCTTCCCACCAGCATTCAATACTTCCAGAGTAACATCCTGGAATTAAGGGGTAACACCTATATAGGTGTTATGGTCATGGTCAGTAACTTACTAGGAGCTCACCTGACTGAAATTCAGAGCCAGTATCCTAAAGATGTTTATGTGGTGCCAAGTGCTCTTACAAATTGGTCAAAACCATAGTCTCGCTGGAATCCTATTGAGCGTTGGGGTCTATGAGGATATGGTGAGGTACCTTAGAATCCTCCTGAGCAGGAAGCTGCTCTCTCTTCTCCTTCAGACATGTCAACACAGCATCAGGAGTCTCCTCTCCAGAGGAGCTTGGCTCAGGGCCCACAGCTTCTGGCTTCCCATTCTCTCTGGGAACTGCAGGTTGCTCACAGGATAGGTTTCTAGGTGGCCCTTTGGGAGCACTCCCTTGTTCTTCTGACAGCTTCAGCTTTAGTTCTGAGAGAAATGCCATGAGTTATCATGAGCAAAGAGGACTCACTGGGCTTAAGAGCAGAGAACCTTTCAGAAATTCCCACTGCTGATGTTAAGTCAGTGAAAATGAACAGTGTTGTTGATAGCTTTCCACAGGGCAACAGAAATAAGCATATTTCTGGTTCTTCCAGAACCAACAGCATAAACTCCTAATCAGATGTGAAAACAAAGGGCTCTAGAGGCTGGGATCTCATGGAAGTGGAAGGTTATTTGTGGAAGTAAGTCAGTGGTTTAAATTTCAGAGGATGAGATCTGGAGTAAGATGGTACAAGGCTTTCAAAGAATTCACCCATTACCTACCACAACATCTGGAATTCTATACTTAACAGGTTCATTTGCTTGAATTTTGAAAGTTTTGTGTAGTTAAGAGCCCCTGTGTAAATGAAAGCACTTCTGTAAGGCTTAACACATGCAGAAATCCGAGGAAATACAGGAGGGATAGGAAAGGAGAGATGGGATGCCAGCCCCAATTTGACAGATTTCACAATTTTGTCTAATGTCATCTTTAAAAATCCAAGAATCACCACTTTTGCAATGTGTTTTCATATAAACCTACATAACTAAAAATTAAAAATCCACCTGAGAATTATCAGGGAATTACATTTCAGAATATGCTAAGAGGTGGGTAATTTCAATGTGGTCGTTTATATTAATTTCTCAATTACAGAGCTCATTTTCTTTGATGCTTATTTTTTAGTTAGACTCTGGTGTGATGTTTAAACATTGCATATTTTATAAACCTGCGACATCATTACAGTTTAATACCACTGAGTGAAGATTCCCTTCTAGTTGCTTATCACCACTCTTTTAGAAATTTGGAAAAATTCCCATATCTATGTATTGAAATAAGAATATGGGAAGAGAAGGAAAAAAATTTTTATAGTTTTTTAAAAGTGTATTTATCTTGAGACAGAGAGAGAGAGTGCAAATTAGGGGAAGGGCAGAGAGAAAGAAAGAGAGAGACACTCTCAAGCAGCTCTGCACTGTCAGCACAGAACTGGATGTGGGACTCAAACTCACGAACCTTGATATCATGACCTAAGCCAAAGTCAGACTCCTAATCGACTGAGCTAGCCACCCAGGCACCCCAGAGGAAGAAAGTAAATTTTTATTGGTAAATACCATAGTCATTTTAAATGGATTTTAGAGTTAATTAATACTCATATCGTCATCATCTCCAGAGAAAGAGAAAGAGCACTAGATTAGGAGGTAAGAGCACTGAGTTTTACATCAAGATCACTACCTCCAAGCTATGTAAATTGTCTCTATCTCTGGACATAAATGTCTGCGTATGTGCAATGGGGTATGCAGAGTAAGTGATTGTTCAGGTTTTTTTCTAACATCCAAGAATCCAGTAACCTAGGGAAGTTACTACTCCACATGCCAGACTTTGGAGTTCTTCAGGTTCTTTGTAAGGAGAATTATTAGATGGGGCCAAATAATGAAAGGGACCCAGAACCCTTTGTTTCAAAATGGAGCCTCCAATCTAGGTGAGAGATGAGGTTTAAGAGGGCACAGGTGGAAAAGAATAGAAATTGCCTGGGAGCAAATTATCTCTATTTTAACTGCCTCCTTTCTGGAAAAAGAGATTCTTGACTGGCACTTACCTTTAAGTTGTTTACGACCTTTAGCCAAATCATTCATCCATTTCAGGACTTCAGGATTAGAAGTCTTGTCACCATGTGAAGGCTATGAAAGAAAGGAAAATGTGAGTGGAACAGAGGGAGTGAAAGAGAAAAAAGGAGAATCAAAATTTTTGGACAGCCAATACACATAGGGATAGTTCAGAAACATATAAAGCTGGGAGAGAAATTCATGTATGACAACTCCAGTTGAGTTTGTTCTAAAGAACAGAGCAAATATTCTTGACCTCCTCCACACTTTTGTACTCTCCATGGGCATTGTTCCTAAACATGCCTGGTCATTCATTACTTTACACAGAGCCCTGACCCTGCCAGTGTCCCCTACACTCTGAGTATCAATGACCCTGTGGGCCACTCACACCCCCATGTGGTTGCTAGGCCATTCTTGATATCAGTGCAAATGACTGCACTGATAGAAACCAGTGCTTACTCATTTGCCTTTACTCACACACAAGGTTTATGAACACAACCTATCTGGTTTATACTGACAAACTAGAAGACTTAGCTCCTATCAGTCATTTCCACCAAGCTCAAGAAAGGAAACCCCAGGATGTCTAACACCTGACAATAGTCTGAGAAAATAAGTATTTCAGGGGAATACCCAGATATCTAATCATCTCACTGTTTATTACAATCAGTATCCTACTGGGATAGCACTAAAGTCAAACTTAATCATATGTGCCTGACCTTGGTCAAATTACTTAGCCTCAGTTTCATCTATCAAATGAGGATTATAACAGCATCTCCCTCATAGGGTTGCTGTGAGGGATAAATTAGCTGATGTATGTAAAACAGGTAAAGTAGTTACTGGCATATGCTATGCACTATAGGTGTGTTAGCTATAATTACAAATACTATTATTATTATTATTATTACTGGCAGTGACAATAGTAGTAGTGTTACTATCAGACTTTCATGGGAATTCTGAATATGTTTTCACCAACAAACATACATGTAGGGGTATGTATCTCTTGCCACGTAGCTAATCTAAATTGGATGTGACAATAAGAATATATTTTTGATTTTTGAAGGATAGGACTCTCTTAATACAAGTATTTCACTTTGATTTCTGGATTTCTCCTCAGAGCATAAAAATGAATTTTCTCAAAGATAGACAAACATACTTAGCCTCTATCCCCATATATCAGTGAGACCATTCTTAAACAAATCAGGCCACCTGCTAACTGCAATGCAGGCTCAAGAAGATTGGTTACTTTGAATTGAGTATATACAAGGACAATATAGGAATGTTCATGAGACTTGGTCATAATTATAATATTGCTAGAAATATGTACATTAATAAGTAAATATGTACATTGACTAAGTCTATGGGCTCTGCTATGTTTTTTTAAAGGATAACTAAGTCTGTATAATATTAGCAAATTTCTAGTAAGAAAGGTATCAGGAGAGAAATGTGTCTTTCCTAGATTCAAATGAAAAAACAGTCATCAATGGTACATGGGAAATTAGATATATTAATAGTGAAACTCAAGGCACAGTACTTTCACTTCTAGAATGATGTAAAAACCATATATTTTTGAATCAAGATAGAAAAGACTGAAGGAAAACAATAAGTGGTTTTTTCCTAGGGGAGCTTAGATAGGATAGTATGGATGGTTTCCATGAGTAAAGCTCTGGTTTCAGTACCATGGACAGTGACACAAGGACACGCCTCCCAAACAGCTTAGCCTGGTGCTACCCATGATGTGATAGAATGATGCACTGTGCCTCTTCCCTGATATACAGTTTAGTATGCTGGCTTTGGGTAACAGCCTGGTTTTACATTTGGCTTTTCAAAATCCTCACATAATTCTCCATGCTGATCTGTAAACACATCTTATTTACCTGGAACACATCTTTCTCACTGGATATATACAGTTACCATCTTTCAAGTTAGTTAATTCAAGTTAGTTAACCTACAGTGTAGTTTTGGCTTCATGAGTAGAACCCAGTGATTCATCTCCAACATATGACACACAGTGCTCACCCCGAAAAGTGCCCTCCTTAATGCCCATCACCCATTCAATCCACCCCTTGACCTTAATCATCTTTTGAAGTAACGTTAAGAACAAAAACCTAAAACCCTAGAACCAAGGACTACTAAAGAAATAAGCTCTCACTATTGCAAATAGGATTTAGGAAAATTTTAAGGCTGATTTTTTTTCTGACAAAACATTTTAAATCTGGAAATCACTTTCTAAAATGACTTTTTTTAAATTTCCTTACTCCTGGGGGAGCTTTCAAAAGAGTTTAAATCAAGCTCACAAGGATGACAGCCTTAAAATCACATGGAAAGTTTTCATATACAAGCTGTGGATCTTCAAGTCTTCTAACTTCTAAATTGAAATACTTCAGTTTAATAGACCCAAGAGGATATAACTCCAGAGTTACAGTGTATATTTTGTTCAATGCAACTAAAACAAGACCTGCAAGGCACACGACTGAGGGCACAACTGGACTAGATCTATGCCCTATCAAAGTCAGTTCAAAAGACACTTTAGAAAGAAATCTGGATTAGGAATGAAAAGACTTGTGTTGTCTTGGCTAGGTCAATTCTTTGCTGTGTGATACTGGGGAAGTTACTTCCTTTCTCTGAGCCTATTCCTTCAATGGTCAAACAAGAAATAAGACTGGCTGATCCCTTCTAATTCTGAAATTCTATAATCTCACAAATTGTGGACATCCAGCTGAAATAGCCTTTTCTAAATCCATGAGTCTCATGATAGTTAAGTATAAAATTAATTGTAGAAATAAACACGGTTTTGGATAGGAATATAAAATGGTCACATTCAACAGAGAAAGAAAGGTGCATGTGGTACCAGGGCATCAGACTAGCATGGAGACCCAGCAGGAGCTCAGACTGAAATATTAGCTGTGGTGCTATTAATTCCACAATTCATCTGGCAGGAAGGAAAGCCTTACATCCAGCAACCAATTTAAGCCCATTGACATGTCAAACCTCTAACCACAGCCTGGCACCCTGACAGCAAGGGTGAGGGAAGCTCTGTTCCCTGAGACATTAAAGTTTCTGATTACACCAGAGATTATTATACACACTGAAGCAGTGGTGACCATGATGCCCTCTCTTTACTGCTCCTAAATACATCAATCTGCATTTGTGAACGTTTAAGTATGTTGTGTGGGCATGTGTCTGCACCAGCTCTAAAACTTTTCTAGACAAACACAGAAGGTGCCAGTAGAAATTCTATTAAAATAGCCTGTTGGGTGGCTCTTACAATTGAAAGAAGTAATCCAGGGTCTGTGGCTGATGGCTGAAAAATTTAGTAAAGAATTAATGTGTCCAATATTTCTTCCTCTTTGGACAAGGCAGGGGCTGTCATGGGATAGCCTGGTCAAATATCACTCAATAGATTAAAAATGTAATAATATTTAGGACCACTTACTTCCCTTGGGTGAAACACTGTAATAAGCATTATATTACAATATACTATACACTCATTTAATACTCACAAACTTAAGAAGTCACTACTAATATTAACTCCACTGTGCAGATGGATAAACTGACACTCAGAAAGATAAAATAAGTCCAAAGTCACAAAGTTCCTAACTAGCTGTGTTAGATTCAAATCCAGACCAGTCTGATTTAAGAATTGCCAGGTATATAGCAAGCTGACACTGTAGACACGGAGGGTGTAGAAAGTGGGGAATGGAGGGAAGATGCTTGAGACAAAGAAGGGGTCCTTGATTGCGTGTTGAGTGAGAGAGCAGAGTTCCTGTGCCTGAAAGCAGGACGCTGAGTGACACCATTCTCACCTCTCAAACAGGCACATACCTGCGCATACACACACGCACACCAGCCTGCCCCAGTAAGCTAAGCAGCGCCACCTAATGGGGCCATTACACCAAGCCCCGCCCAACTCCACCCTCCAACCACATGCCCTAGAGGACCACAAGTCTCTCCATCTGCTTAGTGTACAGATTATGTACAGACTATAGAGTGCTTCATAGTTTGAGTTCTACAGAAAACTGGATGTAACTTCATTCAAGTTTCATTCTGTTTGCTGGTTCATCTATTTGGGTTTTTCTTTCTTCTTTCTTTTTCTTTTGCTCCTTTTCTTTTTCTTGGATAAAGAAAGAGAAAATTTTATTTTTATTTTCCTTTTTTTTATTTTTAAAAAACTTTTAACAATTAATTTTGAGAGGCAAAGAGAGACAGAGTGTGAGTGGGGAGGGCAAGAGAGAAAAGAAGACACATAATCTGAAGCAGACTCCAGGCTCTGAGCTGTCAGCACAGAGCCCAACATGGGGCTCTAACTCATGAACTGCAAGATCATGACCTGAGCTGAAGTCAGATACTTAACCCACTGAGCCACCCAGGCGCCCATATTTTCCATTAAAAAATTTTTTTTAATTCTTTTTTACTATGTTTTTTACTTTTTGGTAAATATTTTATTCTATTTTACTTTATTTATTACATCTTATTCTATTTTATTGTATATTTTTAATTTTTAAACTCTTTCTTACTTTATTCTTTTTCTTTTTTTTTCTTTTCTTTCCCTTTTATCTCTATTCTATCAAGTTTCTTTCAAAAAACAAACCAAAACACACCTAGGACCTAGCTTCTTTTATTTGATTTTCTGTGTTGTTTTTAATTTTTAATTTTATTTTAGTAATCCATTTTCTTCCTCCAAAATGACAAAATGAAGGAAGTTACCTCAAAAGAAAGAACAGGAGGAAATGACAGCCATGGGCTTAATCAACACAGATACAAGCAAGATGTCTAACTAGAATTTAGAATCACGATAATAAGAATACTAGCTGGAGTTGAAAAAAGTGTGGAATTCCTTTCTGAATCCCCTTCTGAATATAAAAAGTAAAATCTAATCAGGATGAAACTTAAAATACTATAACCATGATGAAATCTCGAATTGATGCCCCAGTGGCAAAGATGGATGAAGCAGAGCAGCAAATCAGTGATAAAAGAAGATAAAATTTTAGAGAATAATGAAGCAGGAAAAAATAGGGCAAGTAAAGCAAAAGAGCATGATACAAGAATTAGAGAACTCAGTGACTTATTAAAAAGGA